CGCCCATATGCTGCAGATTTTTTTTTGGTTGATGTGCGCTTCAGGAGATGTCCCGGTGTTATACTCACTCAAAGATCTTTTTCCTTAGTGAGGTTTGTAGTCTAGGGCCCCCTAGACTGTATTGGGGGTTTTGGGGGGGTTGTGTTTTTGAAGTGTATTGTGTGTACTCACCTATTTGTACCACCTATTTGGGTTGCAGGGGTCGTTCAATCCTCACTGCACTAGGCCCTCTCTCTCCCTGCCCCATGAGTTTTATCAAACCTCTCTTAAAATTTGTATGGTTCCCCCCCAAAAACTACTCACTTTCAAGGCTACCCAGGGCCCGGGCACTTTTTGACTGAAGAAATACTCCAACATCCCTTGACTCTCTGAACTTAAACTTCCAATTGTGACCCCTTTTTTTCTGTTCCCATCCGGAACATCCTGTCTTTTCCCCAGTTTTTTCCGCTAATTTTAATATCTTATCATGTCCCCCCCCTGACCCTTCTGCCCTCCAGGTCGTCGGGCCCCAATTTTCCCCCTTAAAACCTTTCGCTAGGACAACTCCTTTAGCTCGGGCTAGTCTTGTTCAACCCTTTTGTCTTTCCAAAAATTTTTACTTTTTTGACCAGTGTGGATCCAAACTGGTGCGTATACCCATATGGCCTGAGGGGTATGGGGGCAGAGTCTGAGCGATTCCTCACGAGGTATCGGAAGCATATTTAAGGGTTTGCCAACGCCCGTATCTGCGCAGTTATCTACGATGTGCGCCTCAGGTTTGTCCGGTTTTATACCACCCAAAAATTTTTTTCCTTGATTTGGGTTTGCGTTTTTTTGGCCACTTAACCATACCTGTCTCGGCTTCTTTGCCCTCCCCCCATTTTTCATGCTTTTTTGCGGGACCAGGCTTGAGCCACCGGGCTTTTTTGTAGCCCCCTGTCTGACCTCAACCGATTTGATTTTCTTCTTTAACTTCATATTTTCGCAAAAAAGGACACTTTGAGTCTACCTTCCTTATTTTTTCACAAATACCAAGAACAGCACAGTCCTGGGACTAAACCCCTGTAAACCCCCCCCCTCGTCAAGGGCCCACTCTGACAAAACCCTCGTCACTACCAACTAGTTTTTTGCCTCCCTGTCAATATTTTCTGATCCACTGATGCCCTTTCCCTTTTTGCTGCCTGTCCTCTAGCTTTTGCATAACCTATTGTAGGAACTTTTTCGAAGGCCTTCTTGCAGTCCAGAAAAAAGCAATCTATCCACCCTCTCTTTTTCTTATTTCCTCACCTGTCACTTGGTTTGCCTTAAGTCACAAATACCTGCACTAACCCCCCTGGCTTGGCTCCCTGGGGTTCATTTCCTACAAGTCCTCACAAAAACAAGTCCCTTTATGAGATAACCACAAGTAAAGTACTTCTTATTAGAAGGGGGCCCTTTTAGCCCCTAACCTTCTGCCCTTTCCCAGCCTTAATTAAAACCTCCTAACCTGCTCCCCACCTTCAGCCTCCTAACCTTCTGCCCTCCCCCACTACCCTAAAAAATTTTTCCCTCCCGTCTTCTAGCCCCTAACCTTCTGCTCCCTCCTTCTACTTCCCAAACCTTTTGCCTCCTAGCCTCCTAACCTTCTGCTGTCCTAGCCTTCTAGCCTCCTAACCTTCTGCTCTCCTAGCCTCCTAACCTTTTGCTCTCCTATCTCCTAACCTTCCGCTCTCCTAGTCTTCTAACCTAATAGTCGCCTAGCCTTCTACCCTCCTAGCCTTCAAGCTATCTAGCCTCCTAGCCTTCTACTTTTCTACCCTCCTAACCTTCTAACTTTCTAGCCTCCTAGCTTTCTAGCCTTCTAGTCTTCTATTCTCCTAGTCTTCTAGCCTTCTACCCTCCTAGACTTCTAGCCTTCTAGTCTTCTAGCCTTCTAACTTTCTATCCCCCTAGCCTTCTAGTGTTCTAGCTTCCTAGTACTAGCCTTCTAGCCTTCTCGCTCCCTAACCTTCTAGCATTTTAGCTTCCTAGCCTTCCAGCTTTCTAGCCTCCTAACCTTCTAGCCTCCTAGTCTTCTACCTTCCTAACCTCCTAGCCGTCTAGACTCATAGCCTTCTAGCCTCCTAGCATTCTAGTATTCTAGCCTTCTACCCTCCTAGCCTTCTAGAGTTCTAGCCTCCTATCCTTGTAGCCTTATAGTCTCCTAACCTTCTAGCCTTCTAGCCTTCTAGCCTCCTAGCCTTCTAGCGTCCTAGCCTTCTAGTTTCCCAGCCTTCTAGCGTCTTAGCCTTCTAGCTTCCTAGCCTTCTAGCCTCCTAGCCTTCTAGCCTCCTAGCGTCCTAGCCTTCTAGCTTCCTAGCCTTCTAGCGTCCTAGCCCTATAGCATTCTAGCCTCTTAGCCTACTTGAATTTTAGCCTGCTAGCCTTCTAGTTTCGAAGCCTTCTAGCCTTCTACGTTTCTCGCCTCCTAGTTTCCGAGTCTCCTAGCCTTCTAGCCTCCTAGGCTTCTAACCTCTAGCCTCCTTGCCTTCTAACCATTAATCCTTTTAGCCTCCTAGCAGTCTAGCCTTCTGGCCTACTAGTCTCCTAGATTTCTAGCTTACTAGTCTCCTAGCCTTCTATCTGACTAGCCTCCTAGCCTTCTATCTTTCTAGTCTCCTAGCTTTCTATCTTTCTAGTCTCCTAGCCTTCTACCTTACTAGTCTCCTAGCCGTCTATCTTACTAGTCTCCTAGCCTTCTATCTTACTAACCTCTTAGCCTTCTATCTTACTAGCCTCCTATCTTACTAGTCTCCTAGCCTTCTACCTTACTAGCCTCTTAGCCTTCTATCTTACTAGCCTCCTAGCCTTCTAGCTTACTAGTCTCCTAGCCTCCTATCTTACTAGTCTCCTAGCCTTCTACTTTACTATTCTTCTAGCCTTTTCTCTTACTAGAGTCCTAGACTTCCATCTTACTAGTCTCCTAGCCTTCTAACACTGGTCTGGTGTTTTAAGACTCACTAGGCACGCCATGGGTTCTAACTCACCTGTACTGTGGTTAGTCTCCTAGTCTTCTGCCTTCTAGCCTCCCAGCCTTTTAGCCTTCTCGCCTCCTAACCTTCTCGCCTTTCATCCTTCTAGCCTCCTAGCATTCTAGTGTTCTGGCCTCCTAACATTCTAGCCTCCTAGTCTCCCAGCATTCTAGTATTCTAGCCTCCTAGCATTCTAGTCTTCTGGCCTCCTAGTATTCTAGCCTTCTAGTCTCCCAGCATTCTAGTTTTCTAGACTCCTAACATTTTAGCCTCCTAGCATTCTAGCCTACTAGTATTTAGCCTTTTAACCTCCTAGCATTCTAGTCTCGTAGCATTCTAGCCTCCTACCATTCTAGCCTCTAACCTCGTAGCGTTCTAGCGTCGTAGCATTCTAGCCTCGCAGTATTCTAGCTTCGTAGCATTCTAGCCTCATTGTATTCTAACCTCCTAGCATTGTACCCTCCTAGCATTCTAGCCTCTTAGCATTCTAGCCTCATAGTATTCTAGCCTCATAGTATTCTAACCTCCTAGCATTCTCGCCTCGTAGCATTCTATCCTCGTAGCATTCTATCCTCGTAGCATTCTGTCCTCGTAATATTCTAGCCTCATAGCATTCTAGCCTCTCAGCATTCTAGCCTGGTAGCATTCTAGCCTCGTAACATTCTAGCCCCTCATAGATCTAATCTAGCCTCGTAGCATTCTAGCCTCGAGCATTCTACTGTACATTCTAGCCTCGTAGCATTCTAGCCTCGAAGCATTCTAGCCTCGTAGCATTCTAGCCTCGTAGCATTCTAGCCTCGTAACATTCTAGCCTCGTAGCATTCTAGCCTCGTAGCATTTCGTAGCTTCGCTCGTAGCATTCTAGCCTCGAAGCATTCTAGCCTCGTAGCATTCTAGTCTCGTAGCATTCTAGCCTCGTAACAGTCTAGCCTCGTAGCATTCTAGCCTCGTAGCATTCTAGCCTCGAAGCATTCTAGCCTCGAAGCATTCTAGCCTCGTAGCATTCTAGCCTCGTAGCATTCTAGCCTCGTAGCATTCTAGCCTCGTAGCATTCTAGCCTCGTAAGCATTCTAGCCTCGTAGCATTCTAGCCTCGTAGCATTCTAGCCTCGTAGCATTCTAGCCTCGTAGCATTCTAGCCTCGTAGCATTCTAGCCTCGAAGCATTCTAGCCTCGTAGCATTCTAGCCTCGTAGCATTCTAGCCTCGTAGCATTCTAGCCTCGTAGCATCTAGCCTCGTAGCATTCTAGCCTCGTAGCATTCTAGCCTCGTAACATTCTAGCCTCGTAGCATTCTAGCCTCGTAGTATCCTAGCCTCGTAGCATTCTAGCCTCGTGGCATTCTAGCCTCGTAGCAGTCTAGCCTCGTAACATTCTAGCCTCGTAGCAGTCTAGCCTCGTAACATTCTAGCCTCGTAGCATTCTAGCCTCGTAGCATTCTAGAGTCGTAGCATTCTAGCCTCGTAGCATTCTAGCCTCGTAACATTCTAGCCTACGTAGCATCTAGCTCGTACATTCTAGCCTCGTAACATTCTAGCCTCGTAGCATTCTAGTCGTAGCATTCTAGCCTCGTAGCATTCTAGCCTCGTAACATTCTAGCCTCGTAGCAGTCTAGCCTCGTAACATTCTAGCCTCGTAGCATTCTAGCCTCGTAGCATTCTAGAGTCGTAGCATTCTAGCCTCGTAGCATTCTAGCCTCGTAACATTCTAGCCTCGTAGCAGTCTAGCCTCGTAACATTCTAGCCTCGTAGCATTCTAGCCTCGTAGCATTCTAGAGTCGTAGCATTCTAGCCTCGTAGCATTCTAGCCTGTTGTTAGACAACAAAACTCAAGGCTTCTGTTACTGTACGTCACTTAGCAGATAATAATAATAATAATGATAATAATACAATTATTATTATTATGTTATCATCATATTCATAGGGGAAGCGCTGAACCCGTAATGGAATTGGGAGTTAATCATGTTTGATCCGAGGTAAGGGAGAGGAAAAGCAAAAGACAGAAACATAATTTAAAACATTTAATAATCAGTGTTTAGGTCCTGTTCAGGACATGTTTGGGACATGTTTGTGTCATGTTGTGTCCTGTTTGGGTCATGGTTAGACTCGTTTGGGTCATGTTTAGGTCATGTTTAAGTCACGTGTGGGTTCTGTTTGAAGCTTGCTCATGTCGCTTTTAGATCATGTTTCGGTTCTGCTTGGATCATGTTTAGGTCCTGCTAGGACGAGCCTGGGTCATATATTTTTGTGTGTGAAACGTTTAGGTCATATTTAGGTCCTGTTTGGGTCCTGTTTAGGTCCTGTTTGGGTCCCATTTAGGTTATGTTTAGATCCTGTTTAGATCATGTTCGGGTGTTTAGGTCCTGTTTAGGTAATGTTTAGATCATGTTTAGGTCCGGTTTAAGTCATGTTCAGGTCCTGTTCGGGTTATATTTAAGTACTGTTTGGGTCATGTTTAGGTCTTGTTTGCGTCATGTTTAGGTCCTGTTTGGGTTCTGTTTAGGTCCTGTTTGGGTCATGTTTATGTTATGTTTGGGTCATGTTCATGTCGTGTGACATATAAGCTAATATATACATTATTCTTGCTCGTGAATTTATGGCACTATATATAAAAAATCAAATCTGTAATTAACGTAAGCGTAATTTACAATTATTTCCTGTAAGTTACCTGTAAATCGTTCATTAAAGTCATTGTAAATCATTTACAAAAAAATGTATAATTTCAGGAAAATCATTGTTATGTAAATTCAGAATAACTTCACTGTATTTTTTTTTTATTTGAAGTTATATGACGGTGAATCACTGAAGTTATTTTTTGGGGGTAAAAATTAACAAAATCTTGATAATTTTGAGTCGTTAAAGTAGTTATTATTATTTTTTTTAATCATTAAGCGGATATTTTTTTTAATATTAAACCAAGGTTAAAAAAAAAAGAGGGGGGGGGAGTATGGACTAATAAACCTGAGAAAACAATTTTAATAATATAAACAATAAATATATATATTTGTATATTTTCAGTATTTACATTTTATATTTGTACAGTATCTTCTTCGCTAAACATATATCCAACAAAATTAACTATATAAGGAAAAAAATGCAATTCCTTATACTTAACACCGAATCACTGCATTTTTCCGGGTTGTGGACACGTGTGAGTTCTGAGAATGTAAACACACACACACGTCGGAGAAGAGGGCCATTGTGATTGGCTCGCTGGTGTTTGTTCTGACTTCTCATTGGTCAATAATGTTTGTGGTGTTCACCAGCCGTGACCTGTCTGAAGCCATAATGGCGTCTTGAGCCGCAATGGTTGTACGTTGCTTCCTTGTATTGGTCGCCTTTCCGGAGGTTCTGGCGTAGCTGAGAGGAGCGTGATGTACTGACAGAAACCCCGCTTCCCTTCCCTGGAGTAAGGGAAGTGGGGTTTCTGTAGGTGGAGGAGAAAGGGAAGAGAGGATTCCTTTGTTATGGGAGGAAAGGAGGAGGAGGAAGCGGTTTTCCATGGATTAAAACATTTGTCAGTCAATCACTGCGCAGTTGATGCAATAACTATTCTGTAAGAGTACAAACAGGCGACTTAACAGTGGTTACCGTCGTCCAAAACCACTGGAACTTGCTGTGGAGGTCTTTGATGTTACGTAGAAGTGAGGTGGGGTGTGTGAAGAGGGTCTACACGAGGGAGGAGAGAGTAGGTCTGACGGGCGTGGGCGCCTGTACTGTGGTGGAGTAGGTGGAGGTGACTGGCGGGTAATACAAGGAATAGGGCGGGAGCGCGGACTGGGGTGGCAGGGAATTGGGCGGGGGCGGCGCTGGCGGGGTGTGGGCGGCCTCGGCAGAGGTGGAGCCGTCGTGGTAGAGAATGGGCACACGGACGAGGCGCTGGGCAGCATGGGCCATGTTGGCCGCCTCCAGTTCGGCAGCCAGCTGTCTCTTCCACTTGTTGCGGCGGTTCTGGAACCAGATCTTGACCTGCGTCTCGGTAAGGTGGAGCGAGGCAGCCAGCCCCGCCCGCTCCGAGGACGACAGGTAACGCTTCATGTCGAAGGTGCTCTCTAGCTGGAAGACCTGAGACCGCGAGAACACCGTCCGAGTCTTCTTCTTGCGCCGCTTACGGTCTTCTTCGGCGTCGTCTCCCGCCCCGCCGCTGGCGGTGGAGGAGGCCGCCCCGCCGCCCACACACCCCGCCCCGTCACCCTCCCCCGCCCGTTGGTCCTCCCTGGAGGGGGAGGGAGGCGAGGCAGGAGAGGGAGAGCGAGGCATGGGTGACGGAGAGCGAGATCGAACTACTTCGACTGGCGCCTCGCTCAGCGGGCTCCCCACACCCACACCAGGAGGAGAACCTGTAACGTAAACAACGACGTAAGTGACAGCAGTGAAGAAAACAGAGTTTTGGGATTAATGGGGTTTAATGCTTAACTACCACTGATGATCATTAATGCCTAATTTCCACTGAGGGTAATTAATGCCTAACTACCACTGAGGGTCCATTAAAGTTTCATGTAACCTGAGCACCACCGGTCAAGAATACATGAACTTCTAAAATAGGTATTAAAATAAATTCTCATAATATAAATCGCCGTGTATATTTGTATATATATATATATATATATATATATATATATATATATATATATATATATATATATATTATTATATATATTTATATATATTTGTGTGTGTGTGTGTGTGTGTGTGTGTGTGTGTGTGTGTGTGTGTGTGTGTGTGTGTGTGTGTGTGTGTGTGTGTGTGTGTGTGTGTGTGTGTGTGTATGTGAGTGTGTGTGTGTGTGTATGTGTGTATGTGTGTGTGTTATCACAGTTCAGAGGACTCAAATACGACTAACCGACAGGTTTTCCTGCGTCTTCCATAAATGTTACCTTGCTCGCACTCCAACAGCACGTCAAGTCATAAAAACCACTTGTCTCCACTCACTCCTAACTAACACGCTTGCACAAGTCTACTTTATGTCCAAGCTCCTCGCGCTAAAATAAAGCCTCCTTTATCATCTCCCTCTAACCCTAACTGGGACGAACCCTTCCCTATCTTCCATCCATCCCAGATTTAAATGCCCAACAATATTGCTCCATCATGTCAATCGTGTCATTACGATTTCTTGAGTCATGTTGACGGCAGTGAAGGGACTTGAGCTAGAGTTCGTCACGGCCACGCTAGCTGGAGATTCGTCTGTAAAAACTTGCATTTGTGGTCACAGAGGTGACTGTGCTAACCTTCCTATGGTGTAGAAATATACCTAGTTGGATGAATCTTATTGTGGCTAGCTGGTCTAGTGGCTAACGCGACGGGCTGGAGTTTTGAGACTCTATGACCGCGGGTTCAATCCCGGCCGGGGGTATGGATTGCTCCACCCTTTCTAAACGTCCGAATCACCTCAACAGCCCCTCCTTAGCCCTCTGGGTTTATTACCTGTGGCATCTTCACACCGTCTAATTTCCAAACTACGAATTCTCTGCATAATATTCACACAACACATTGCCCTCAGGCATGACATCTATACTACCTCCAACCTCCTCCTCCTCTCTGCAACGTTTAAAACCCAGGATTCACACTCATGTAAGTTATTACAATCAAGTATCCTGCTCCCACAAGTTGATGAATCAGACACATGTGCAACACTGAAATCTTTATTTACAAAACTTTTTGCTTACATAGTACACTTCTTCAGTCGAATACAGTAGAAGCAGTGGAGAGGTAAAGATAATGTGATCAGTCCCTCAGACCTGAAGTAGTGGAGAGGTAGTCAGTCCCTCTGACTTGAGGAAAGTGTTCAGCTCTATGGTCTCTATTATTGAACATACAAACATACAAACGTCACTTCAGGTCTGCCCTTTACTTTCCTTTTCTTCCCACATGACATATTTATTTATATGACCTTGTCTTACTCCTTACCTTCTTATTACCTCTCGTTCTCCGCTCTTTTCCTGTGATCATTTATATCTGGTATATATCTTTCTTTCACCCCCCCCCGTCTCCCTTCCCGTCTCTCTCTCTCTCTCTCACTCTCTCTCTACACACACTCCATCCCACCCCTTCAGTGTCTCCTCCCTCTCTTTCTTCCTCTCCCGTCTCCCTTCCTCTTCCTCCTCCTCTGCTCAATCTTTTTTCCTTTGCCCCGCCCCTCTTCTCGTTCTCTCTCTCTCCTTCTCTCCCCCTTTTCATTTCCCTTCATCCTTTGCCTAGCCTTTTGTGGGGCGAGGCAGCCTTGAGGGCAACAAGGTCCTATCGCAGTTGTTCCTGTTTACATATGAGAAGCTCCCTCTACCTTGTGTTCCGTGCTCTACGCAACGCTATGGACGGAACGTCCCGCATTTCCCGCCCTCCGGAACACCACGTGCAGAACGTAAGCTGTGGATGGACGTTCCTCGTTGTCTCCCAGGATGGAACACTCAGTGTTTCTTGTGTTTCACTTTACGGAACGTTACCGGGCCTGACAAAGGTGTTGCTGGATAAAGTAGCACTTGGAGATACTCCATTATAAAGTCACATGGCGTTACTGAGCCGTAAGGAATATTCAAGGCGATGTTGTAATTTCAGGAGTTGTGGGCAGCTTATAGCACCAGTCTGATTGAACAGGTAATGAACTGAGTTGCCTAGTGAACAGGCTTAGTTGCTGGTAGTGATGGTGTTAGACAACCATCCAGGGAGGTTCTAACTTCTTCTCATATGAAGGTGAAGGTGAAGCCTGATAAATGCTTTGCACTCTGGCGGAATTGCTGTTTTCTTTTTCCATGCTTTTTCGAGCTCTGGTAGCGCCTCTGCCTTGAGTGAAAAGTGCTGTACTGTTTCTGAATATCGACGATGTTTCTGAACCTTGAGAACGTTTCTGTTGTTAGAGAACTCTGAGAAGGTCAGGTTATGTGTTATGTTGTCAGTGGTGTTGGTAGTGGTGGTGCCATTGGTGGTGGTGGCGGTGGTGGTGTCAGTGGTGGTGGTGGTGGTAGTGTCAATGGTGATGATAGGAACGAGCATCAGCCAGCTCCTTGTGGAGGGGCCAACTCAAACTGTGGCATTCATTACAGTAGCACCCAGGGAGATAGAACGAGGGAGATAGAACGAGGGAGATAGAACGAGGGAGATAGAGCCAGGGAGAGAGAACCAGGGAGGAAGAGCCAGGGAGATAGAGCCAGGGAGATAGAGCCGGCCCTCAAGCCTATTCATCATATGATAAGCGAGCGTCTGGGTGCTTTCAAACCTGCCTTAAATGTACCACTGTTGCAGCAATTCTGAATGAAGTGTTTGAATTAGAATTTGAAAGGTAGGGGAAAAGGAATGGGGAAGAAGGGAGAGAGAAGGGAGGGAGGGAGTGAGGGAGGGAGAGGGATAAAGAAGAAGGGGTGAGGGGACTAAGGCAGGAAAGGAGGATTGAGAGAGAGAGAGAGAGAGAGAGGAGAGAGAGAGAGAGAGAGAGAGAGGAGAGAGAGAGAGAGAGAGAGGAGAGAGAGAGGGGGAGAGAGAGAGAGAGTGTGTAATGGCCCCTCGTAATACACCTTACTACCCAAAACATGCGTCCGAACACGTAACACCAGCCGCGGCTTCCTCTTCCAAGCACGGCACACACACGCACCTCCCACCTCTCCAGAACACAAGAACCTTATCATTTTTGTCTTCAGAACACAAGAACCTTATCGTTACTGTCTTCAGAACACAAGAAGACTATCATTACTGTCTTCAGAACACAACAGCCTATAACCACTGTCTTCACAACACATCTCTCAATATAGGTTGAGTCACAAATGAGAGGAATTTGAGATATGAACGGAAGCAGCCAAGACAGGCCTGGCAGGCACGAACCTCACCTCAGCGGCAGTTAACAGGCAGAAATTGAACAGGGCTCGAACGGCGCAAGCTGTCACAGGCCCTATAAAACGATAACAAAAATTCAGAAGTTGAACAGGGCTTGATACGGCGCAAGCTGTCACAGGCTCTATAAAACAACAACAAGAAGGCAGAAGGTAAACAAGGCTCGATACGGCGCAAGCTGTCACAGGCCTTATAAAACGACAACAAGAATTCAGAAGTTGAACAGGTCTCGATACGGCGCAAACTGTCGCAGGCCCTATACAACGACAACAAAAAAGCAGGAGTTGAACACAGCGGCTCGTCAAATCTCTCCCCGGTAACACAATCCTCGCCCCCGCGTCCCATCACAGCCACGGCTTCCTTTGTTGCAACCACCCACCGCATTGTACCCGATGGCCGCTCATGCACCGGCTAACGACCCAATTTGGCCCAGTGATCATCGGGAAAGGCAACACCCGACGCCGGCCGGCCATGCGATCCGGGCCAGCCGGAGGGAAACGGACGAAGTCGAGGCGGCCAAGTAAACGAACACCCCCGAGGAAGCTGCCATTACGAGGATTAATCCTGGTAAGTGCCCATTGTTCGCCAATCACGCTGTGGGAGGCGAGCCAAAGGCAGAGGCGACAAAATTCAAAAAGAGGAAACTGTCTTTTGATCGCGTCCTCCACAATACTATCGCTTTGAAGTGAGAGAAAGAGAGAGAGAGAGAGAGAGAGAGGAGAGAGAGAGAGAGAGAGAGAGGAGACAGAGAGATAGACAGCACATGGGAAAGACTGATAGCACAGGACTTTAAAGTCTACTTCTGTCTATGGTAGAGCGAGAGAGCGAGAGAGAGAGAGAGAGAGAGAGAGAGAGAGAGAGAGAGAGAGAGAGAGAGAGAGAGAGAGAGAGAGAGAGAGAGAGAGAGAGAGAGAGAGAAAGCGTTCTCTGTTGATGCTACTGATGTTGGAGACGATACCTGAATTAGCAGTCTCTCTCTCATTATCTCTGAAACATTCAGCTGCTCCAGCGCAGCGTGAAGACCAGCGCGAAAGAGACAGACCGGAAATAAAAAAAAAAAACAGAGAGAGAGAAGGCTCTCGCTTCCACGTCCGGTAAAGATAGTCCATCCATTCAGTGAAGATAGAAAGATTCTTAGTCTTGATTTAAGTTTTACTCTCTCTCTCTCTCTCTCTCTCTCTCTCTCTCTCTCTCTCTCTTTCTTTCTTTCTCTCTTTCTTTCTCTCTCTCTCTCTCTCTCTCTCTCTCTCTCACACACACACACGCTTATCTACCCTCTTTAATGGGTGCCACTCTGCAACCCGGTTATAACGTCCCTTATCGCGCGGAATCAGCGGGTTACACAGTAGAGAACTCTACTAAATGACGCTAACATATTCTTCAGTATACCGTAAAACACTCAAAGAGAAAAAAAAATTATTCCCAGGTGGCAATAGAGGGGAAAGGAGGAGATTGGGCGAAACGTAGCAAGGAGAAACGGGAAATGTGAAGAGTAGCTTTCTCAACAACGTAACCGGGAGAT